TGTGTGTGTGTGTGTGTGTGTGTGTGCGGACATTGCGGTGGTTATCGGCCGCCGCCTTCGAGGGCTGTAGCAGTCCGGCCGACCCGGTTGGCATGATTTATTCCCGCCGCGCCTCCTTCTCCAGTCGGCCGTGAGCCAGCACGGCGCTTATCCGCTTCGCCGGTTGCCAGTTGCCGGTTGCCGGTTGCTGGTTGCCGGTTGCCGGTTGCCGGTTGCCGGTTGCTGGTTGGACGAGGCCCGCTGCCTCGGGCCCTCGCACCCACACCCTCCTCCCTCCTCTCGATTGCCTCGCACGTCTGCCAGACCCTTCAGCCAACAGGTCTGCACCTATACACACAAACACACACACACAAACACACACACACACAGACACACACGCAAATCACACTGATTCGCCCATCAAAAGGCAGCTTTGGCTCTCCTGATTTATCCGCCGCTCTCACCGGACAGCTTCCCTCCCAACTGGCCGGAGCATGTCCGGCCGATGCGGAAGTGCACAAGACGAATAGACCAACAGACCAACAGCTAAACATACAAACAAACATACAGACAGACAGACAAACAGACAAAGAGACGATCGGAAAAGGACAGTTACAGCAGAGATTACGGATTGTGCACATCTTGCCTCTGGTAGTTGTTTGTAACCGGGCCGGTGTGTAGGCGGGGCGGTCGGTTGTTCGGATTAAAGTAAACCACCAGACTGGGGCGCAAGACAACGACGGCAACATGAATGAAACATCGCTGGTGTCACTTCTCCTCCGGCACAGTCACCGGCACATACACATTTGCCGGTGTGTGTGTGTGTGTGTTTGTATGTGGGTGGGTGGGTGGCACGGTATGCTGGTGAGAGGATGTAAAGAATATTTTCAAGATCAGAGCAAAGCTACCGACGAGTGGATACGTACTTCCAGACGAATCAATGTAAGGTTGAAGGGTCAAAATGGATAATTGCGACACATCAAAGTCGTCCAGTAAATCGGAAAGAGTGATTTATTGATAAATAAGTAATCAAATGAATAAATAAAAGGGGCGAGTTTTACAAGTAAGAGATCAGGAAGATTGAGGAGAAGAAAGATTATGATGATGCTGTTAATGATGATTAGGATGACAATGATAATGATGATGATGATGATGATGATGAGGAAGAGGACTCGACCAGGTGAACCTGAGAATGTCCAAGAATGGCCTATACTGTCAGCCTATTTTGTTGAAGAGGCTTTCATGTCGCGTGAAAGTGCATGAAGAAGAGGACGGCAGATTCCTGTTGTTCTGCAGCCTCGTTCAGGTGAAAGGAGTCGTCGAGATATGTTTCATCGTTTCGAGTGGAATGGGGATCGGCTTTCGTACCACATGCAACGAACAGCATCAAAGCTGGAACTCATTCTTGTCAAAGTACCACGCGAAAACTAGGTGAAGCAGACTATTCTGATTTATTTGACAACTTCTTGACTTGGTGTTAAGGTGAAACTTTGTAAAAATGACAACTAGCTTTGATGATGATCGTCATGTGATACACGAAATATCAGCACCTTTTCTGCCGAAACGAGGGAGCATGTTTCGTGGACTGCGCCAAAATAAATGTCGCATAAAAGGTAACGGTTGAAATGCAACGAGTATCGGAGAGGGGCTTCTTGTGAGATTGAACTTTGAAGCATTTCTTCATACGAAATAAAAGTATCTACAATGAAACAATTTGAAGAGATTCATGAAAACGAGGTAAATATTTGTGTGAAAATCCAAATATGTGAAAACGTAATTTAATCAAATAAGTCTCAAACGACAAAAAGAATCGAATCCTGCATCAGACACAAAGCCGAGGCAACGTGGTATCAAAACATTTGATTCATTTCTATAGAACGATTTGATGGATACAGTCAGAAGCAAGAAGAAATCACACAAAACCGATAAGATAAAAGGACGAGT